ATATTAGTAAAATAAGCAATTGCTCTAGCTGACATAGGATTATTTTGCAATTGCTAACAGAATAGGAAGCAGGCCATATGACAGACAGCACACATTACTGACAGAGGAAATACTTTTGCTGACCATTTCCACAAGAAGACATTTCCTTGACCAGAAATTTGTGAAGTGGCCTCAGGCTATCCTGGAAGGGGCGGGGCTCGAGTGGAAGGGGCAGGGCCAGGAGACTTCTTGTGCTTCCCCCCTGACTCTGATTGGCCTGGGATGGGACAGCGCAAGAAGTCTTCTCCCATCTCCCTTGTGGAAAAGATATCTAGTACTGTGGGAGGCTTTTCAAACATGCTGACTAAGGCATAACAAGGCTCCTGTGGCTGGAAGTTTTAATTCGACAAAATTCACTGTTAAAATAACATACATTTTCCTGACAGTAAGAGTGATTGAATATGAAGACACCTTACTGGGAAAATGATGGACTCAGGATTGTTGGAAGTCTTTAAAATAAGATTAGATATCTTTCTAATATATATGCTTTAATCCATCTTCTGGGAGAAATTCAATGGGTAAGGTATGCAGTGGGTTGGGCTGGGCAGTTATGGTGGTTTTCCTTCCAGTATTGGAGTGCAGATCTCCCTGTTTTATTCTTTCCCTTCATAGGCCCCAGGGAGAATGAGAGCTGTGCAATGTACTTAATGGGTGCTCGTATTGACAGCTCTCTATTAAGGCTGAGTATAATGAAGTCCCATGCTTCAGGAATTCATTCATTCATCTGCAGGGATCAGGTGGAAATTTCCCCTGTAGTGCACAGTTAGCCAAATTAAATATTCAGGGTTGTGGTTGGCTTTTTTTCTGGGTGGGGAGCTGCTCCCTCCTTCCTCATAAGCATCATGGATTGGCTCAGCCTGGGACAGGACATTAAATGGTGTGTACCAGTGTTTTGAGATGGTACAGAAAATCCTCTTTCTTGAATGATTGGCATGTCTTGCTCACATGCTCAAACTCATCTCCAGATCTGAGGTTGAAAAAGTTTTCAGTCAGGTCAGATTGACAAGGATTTTGGATGGGTTTCATCTTGCTCTGCAGTGTGGAATGTGGATTGCCTGCAGAGATCATCTGTGCATTTCTCAACTAATCAATTGCCTGCTGTTGCAGAGGCCTAGCGCATTGATGGTGCCCCAGTCTGTCCTGTTCTGTCCCTGTAGCACACAGTATCTTAGCCTAATTAGTACTTTTAATAATCCAAGTTATTAGGGTCAGTATTTAATGATCTGTGGGATACAGATTAAACTAAGGCCAGAAGAGACCATCAGATCATCTAAACTCTATAAAACAATGGTGGTAATGCCTTATATTGTTTCTTCTTTGATTATATGGGATTTGGAATGTGTTTCTCAAAGCACTCATCCTTTTATGGAGGACACTGTAGAAGTGCAAAAGGTTGTTATGCCTAAATGTGGGCTCCTTTGTCATCTTCATTAGCTATCATTTGAATTATTTTAAACTTTCACTGACATATTTTTGTAATTAAAGTGGAAATAACTTGCCAACTCTATCCTCTGATAAGCTGGTGGTAGGTTTCCCAAGAGTGGGTGGGAGGTTTATGCCCTCCAATCTCCCTACCTTCAGGGGCCCCTTTATCCTTCCTACTGTCCAAGAGGCAGGGCCAAAGGTAGTTGTTCACTAGCACTGCCCGGGCCATAGCGCTGCTTCTCCAGCCATGGAAACGGGGGCATCATTCTATGGCTCTTTGCGGACCACCTGTTCTGAATTTTGATGCTGTTTGGCTCTTTGGTTTGAACTTTCACTTATGGGTAATTTTAAAAGTTAACCCTTTTAAATAGTTGCTGTTTGGCTCTTTGGTTTGAACTTTCACATATGGGTAATTTTAAAAGTTAACCCTTGGCAATAGTGTGTGTGTGTGTAAGAGAAACAGTGCTGTTGAAAGGAAAGATGAGGTCTTGTTTAATGTGGGATATCCTTAAACAGTTTGCAATGCCTCTCTTGCTTCCTAGCATTATCATAGAATCATAGAATAATAGGACTGGAAGGGACCTCGAGAGGTCATCGAGTCCAGCCCCCCGCCCTCAAGGCAGGATCAAGCTCCGTCTACACCATCCCTGACAGATGTCTATCTAACCTGTTCTTAAATATCTCCAGAGAGGGAGATTCCACCACCTCCCTTGGCAATTTATTCCAATATTTGACCACCCTGACAGTTAGGAATTTTTTCCTAATGTCCAATCTAAACCTCCCCTGCTGCACTTTAAGCCCATTACTCCTTGTCCTGTCCTCAGAAACCAAGAGGAACAAATTTTCTCCTTCCTCCTTGTGTCATGAATTCATTGCATCTATTCCTCCACTGTTCCTCCTTTCTAAAACACATTGAGTCCTTTCACACTTCCTGATTTAAGATTGTGCAGTTTAGACGCTAAAAAAGATAACTTTGCTTTCTGGAGCCATACAATATACTTTCTTCAGTGTGACAAATAAAATAATATGGGTAGAATACTTTTCCAACTGAGGAATGCCCCTGAGGCTGACCACTCTTGAGTTATCCAGAAGAGAGAGTCCATCCTCCAATGTCATTTCTATAAGATTGCCATCTAGAACTGATATTATCTAATCCTCTTATCTGAAAGGTTTCTTATTTTTTGGTATTTTCATTACAGTAGCATTTAGAAACCCTGAGTAACATTGAAGGCCCCAGCATACAAGGCATTGTATAACCACATAGTAAGAGACAACCTCTATCCCAAGAAGCTTACAAGCTTAATATGCAAGATAGACAAATGGTGGGAAGGCAAACAGTAGCTTCTCCACTAATGTTCCCTGTAATCTTTTCCATCCATATATAGATTTTTTTCCATCCATGTGCAGTAAAAATTGTATGTGCACTGAGACACGTGCACAAATGCACCACTGGTAGAAACAAAATAACTGAGCTGTGGGCACTCTGCTAATCAGCTGGGAGGCATTTGAATCTCTCCTAAGTGGCTGCATAAGCACACGGCTTAAAGGGAACACTGTTTTTTCCTAGTCCTCTATTTCAGTTCACATTTTCTTCTAAATCTTATCATATTCAGTACATTTTAAACTCCACTCTTTTAGGTAACAGGATCTCTTTTTATACTTGGCCATTTCTTTCTTTGATAGGATAACGAGCCTTGTGGATAAGGGAGAAGCGGTGGATGTCATATACCTAGACTTTAGTAAGGCATTTGATACGGTCTCGCATGATATTCTTATTGATAAACTAGGCAAATATAACTTAGATAGGGCCACAATAAGGTGGGTGCATAATTGGCTGGATAACCGTAGTCAGAGAGTTGTTGTTAACGGTGCTAAATCCTGCTGGAAAGGGATAACAAGTGGAGTTCCGCAAAGGTCTGTTTTGGGACCCGTACTGTTCAATATCTTCATCAGTGATGTAGATATTGGGATAGAGAGTATGCTTATTAAGTTTGAAGATGATACCAAACTGGGTGGGGTTGCAACTTCTTTGGAGGATAGGGACATAATTCAAAATGACCTTAGCAAGTTAGAGAAATGGTCAGAGGTAAACAGGATGAGGTTTAATAAAGAGAAATGCAAAGTGCTCCACTTAGGAAGGAACAATCAGTTCCATACATACAAGATGGGAAGCGACTGTCTAGGAAGGAGCATGGCGGAAAGGGATCTAGGGATCATAGTGGACCACAAGTTGAATATAAGTCAACAGTGTGATGCTGTTGCAAAAAAAGCAAATATGATTCTAGGTTGTATCAACAGGTGTGTTGTAAGCAAACCTCGTGAAGTCATTCTGCCGCTCTACTCTGCACTAGTTAGGCCTCAGCTGGAGTACTGTGTCCCGTTCTGGGCGCCACATTTCAAGAAAGATGTGGAGAAATTGGAAAGGGTACAGAGAAGAGCGACAAGAATGATTAAAGGTTTAGAGAACATGACCTATGAAGCCAGGCTTCATGAACTGGGCTTGTTTAGTTTGGAAAAAAAGAAGATTAACGGGGGACATGATAGCGGTTTTCAAATATCTAAAAGGGTGTCACAAGGAGGAAGGCGAAAATTTGTTCCTCTTGGTTTCTGAGGACAGGACAAGGAGTAATGGGCTTAAAGTGCAGCAGGGGAGGTTTAGATTGGACATTAGGAAAAAATTCCTAACTGTCAGGGTGGTCAAATATTGGAATAAATTGCCAAGGGAGGTGGTGGAATCTTCCTCTCTGGAGATATTTAAGAACAGGTTAGATAGACATCTGTCAGGGATGGTGTAGACAGAGCTTGGTCCTGCTTTGAGGGTGGGGGGCTGGACTCGATGACCTCTCGAGGTCCCTTCCAGGCCTATTATTCTATGATTCTATGATTTATTTTTTGGTGTAATATTTCCTCCTACATGTACGTCTTGTAGAGTTTGATTAGCACCCATTGAAATCATTGAGAGGGTTTTTTTTCCTGTGGATTTTGATGGAAATAGAATGAAATTTACAGTTTGTAATCCTGTTTCCCAAATCCTAAGAGACCCAAACTTCTGCCTTTTCTGCTTTATCGAGCTTGTTAATTGTTTAAAGTTTCGAATGGTACTCTCCACCATCCCCCTTTTTGTTTTCCACCTGTCCTTTGCTTGCTTATCAGACACTAATAAATAAAGCCCTAAATCTTTAGATTTTTTTAAAAAATCTCATATTTTATTGCTCCCCTAGCATTTGTTTTTCTTATTTCTAGTTCCATGTTTGCAATATCTTCCTTTTCCCCCTTTCCAGTTGCACCTTCCTCATGTGTAATTCATCTACTTCTCTCCATTAAATTAAACAAAATGTGTCATTCCTGGATCAAACTGCATACTTTATTTCCTAAGCGCAACGTGAGCTCTTGTTTTATTTGAAGTCCACACACTGATGCAACATCATCTTTTTTATTTCTAGATTAACACAATATTTAGAAGAAATATACTCTTTTAAAATAATTTTAAAATTTACCTGATCCATTTAGTTTGATGTTTTCCCCCTCTCTCATAGACTATGGAAGATTCCATGTTGACAATCAGTTTTGGAGACTGGATGGAGTTACCAGGACTGAAATTTAAGGATTGGGCAGCTAGTAAACGCAGGTAAAGATGCTATGTTTCTTAAAGTGATAAATGCAGAAAATGTGATTGCTGTAAATAGAACAATTTTAAAAACTATTATCTAGCAGTTCTCAATAATTAAAGTGGTGCATCTCCTTCCCAGAATGTGGTAGGAAATGGTATACTTTATTTAACAAAATGGAAATTGGTCATTATAGTTTCACCTGACCATTTTTTTTTAATTATAAACTTATGTGTACATAAAGCAAATATAGTAAATTGTTTTGTATTTAATCTTCTTGTTCAAGGTCTTTGACTGAAAGTTTTTAGTAAGATCATTCATTTGTTTTCTCATGCTGTTACACTCGTCCTTTTTCTTTTAAACCTCATTTACTCAGAAGTTTACAAAAAAGAATTTCAGAGCTACATTAAAGTGACTCAAATATCCTATTAGTTACCAGTGCCGATTATAAAATATAAGCCACTTTATATATTTTTGTAGATATTACCTGAGTGCTTACGTAATTCAAATAGTATTTGGAGTAGTTACATGGTACTGATTAAATCGCCCATCTTAAAAATGAACCTTAATATAGGCTTGAACAGCATCTTGTTTTTTAATTAAAGAATACATACTTAAATTTAAGCTATGCTTATAAACAAGTTTTATTGTGTTTAAAGTGCTTATTACCATGAAACAAATGGAATTACTTGTGGGAATAAACACTTCATTGTTGTGATTGCAGGACTGGACTCATAGATGGAAGGTTTAGACATTATTAATTATGAGGATAAATTTCTCTGAAGAGGTTTTAAGGAAAAGGAAATTTATGGATACAGAAGGAAATATGAAAGAGCACAAAAGAGTGGGAATAAGAACTGAATGTAGGAGTCAGAGTTGGAAGAAGCATAAGAGGGAATGATAGGGAAAGGGGATACTAAGAGAAATTAGATCAGCTATAGAGGAGGGATGAAGATTGTGCTGGGGGCTAATCAGTGAAGCTAAGGAGCTTGATTTTAATACATTGCAAGACAGGCAGGGCCCTACCAAATTCATTGCAGTGAAAAACTCATCACGGACCCTGAAATCTTATGTGCTTTTACCCTGTACTATACAGATTTCACGGGGGAGACCAGAATTTTTCAAATTGTGGGCCCTGACCTAAAAGGTAGTTGCTGGGTGGTCACAAAGTTATTTTAGGGAGATCATGGTTTTGGGATACCCAGTTCTAAAGGTAGTGCCTCATCAGCAGGAGCAGAAGGGTGGTAGTTGTGTAACTGCCTTGAATAGGAGTATTAAGGTACTCATGTGATTAAGTTTTTGTAGGGTCAGGGCTTTACATATGAAAACAGTGATGGTATTAAATAAGAGTAATTGAATTTTATTAATTTTTTATATATATGAGTAAATAGTTCACTGTCTCCATAACTCTTCATATCAACTTCCATATCCTGATCTTTCCCAGTAAGGTCTTCATACTTCAATTCTGTTTCTAGGGTTTTTTTTAAAGTTTTCTTTTCAGTTTTGCACATTCAGCTGTTCATACATATCCTATTTTAATCGGTGATAAAAGTCCTGGTCAAGATGGCAACTTCCTATTTGATATTATTTATATGCAAGATAGTTATAAAGTTTATTTACTCTCTTTATTTAGAGATAGTAATCAGAATACCTTGTATTTTACACTTAACTCGGTTATGTAGTTCTTTTGTACATGGTAAGTTGCATTGCTGCTACTTACATGTTATACTAGATATGGATGGGCTACAGAGTTTCCTTTATAGGGAGAGATATGTCTGTCTTCAGATCCTTTAATGCACTCTTGGCTGTAACTATTATCAACTCAGGTAAGGATATTTTTCTGAGACTATGCCAGTATGAATCAAAGCCAAGACTGAGCCCCGTACATTCTGTGTATGCACAATAGACACATTCCACTTAGAGCATAAAGAAAAACAAATATTGTTTAGTTATAAATGGGCTATATTCAGGTGTGGTTTTTTTTTTTTAAATAAAAGCAGAGCAGTATTAACTCCAGAGTTCACTCCTGCACATGACTAACATTTTGGATTTAGTTCAAGACCTTTGCAAGCCACTAAAAAAACTTAATTTTAGTTTCAGCTATATTACAGATATAATTTGGGAACTGTACACACGTAAGATTCTGTAACACTTTTAATTAAAAGACCATGTTTCCCATGCTTATATCTTTGCTCAGTTATAGCAGGTTGTGATGCAATTTTCCATACCAAGTACCTTCTGCAGGCTGCATTTTTGGGGGAAATTTCAGCAAAATATAGTTCAGCTGCTTTTGACAATGAGATTAGGGAAAAAAAGTATGTTTTGCCACTTTTTTTTTTTAAACTTACATCTGTTTCTTTAAGTGGCACGAGGGAATTCTTTTTGCTGTCCTTATGAAAATTCACCCAGATTTAGCCTTAATGCACAGGTAGTGTTGAGAAATCAGGTGCTCAAAACAGAATTTAGGTTGAAAGCTCTGACATCTGGAAGTTAGGTTTTAAAATGTAATCTTGTTATAAATTAAGTGGAATTTATATACCACATCCTTTGGATTTCATTTGATTTGAAGTCTTAATGAGACCTACAAAACGTACCAAGTTTGTTAAAAAATTATTTCAGTAACACAAAGTTATTAACTGAGTTTGTTGTCCTCTTGTTTAAAATGATCTAATGACTAATTTGAATTACTAAAAAAGCCAGGAAAATTTCTCAAATTATTGACCAGCTTAAAAATTAGAGAACTAATTTTGTTCGAACCTCACTTACTTTGTGTTCCCAAAATGAAAAGTTGCACGCAGTGTTTTTGGAGCCATGTTGATTCCAGGATATTAGAGACAAGGTGGATAAGGTAGACTTATCTCCACTGCTACAGTGATTATCGTTCCTTCACAACACAACTGTCAAGATCCGTGGGTCCTACACATGCCTATCACAATGTGTGGTAAAAGTTAAAAAAACAATGAATAGTCTAGTAGCACCTTAAAGACAAACAAAACATGTAGGTGGTATCATGAGCTTTTGTGGGCACAACCCACTTCTTCAGATGACAGAAGTGTTGGAAGTCCAGATCCAAGAATAAATAAGGGAAGGAGGGGGTGGGGAAGGGAGGAGAAGGGAAAAAAACGGAGGGGAGGAAGAAAAAAAGACAGTGAATAGATAAGCTTCATAGGGGTAGCCGAGTTAGTCTGTAACAGGAAAAACTTAAACAACAAATAGTCTATCCAGTGCAGTTAATAGCTCAATAACCATGTGGGTTAAATCAGACAATCATGAAGAAACCCTCACAGGAAAACAATTCAAGATAAAACTACCCTATTACAGGTGGATGAACACATTTTACAAAGTCATCACTCTGTCTGACCTATCCATTCTCAAAGCACACTTGCACAACATTTTCAAAATATGATCTTGGAAGGTTATTTTCATAACTTTTATTAGATGCTAAGAATCCTGGTCTTAATAAGGACAGTGGATTTATGGTTTTTCACAACAGTTGTCCTACGACTACAGGGATGTTAGCAGGCCACTTCACTTTTAATGGTCATTTAGAATGTGTGCTAACTACTTTACTAAACTATCTGTTCAGTCTCGGCCTTGCTCTACACTGCTGCTTAAGTTGATGTAAGTTATCTCACTCAGGGGCATGAAGAAATCCCCCCTCTGAGTGATGTAGCTTACATTGACCTAATGCGGTGTCTATACCGTGCTGTGTCAGAAAGACATGCTCTTTTGCTGAATTACTTTCCACCTTTTCAGGAGGTGGAGTACTGAAATCAATGGGAGAGCGTTTTGCCATCAATTTATTTGCCTCTTCACCAGACCTACTAAAGTGATGCTGCTGCATTGATTCCAGTGGTACTCCTTTAGTGTGCCAGTGTATACTAACCTTTGTATTTAGCTGAGACACTCAGTACCTTTCCTAGACATGAAGAAGAGCTCTATGTAACTCAAAAGCTTGATTTTCTCACCAATAGAAGTGGGTCTAATAAAAGATAGTATCTCGCCCACTTTTCTATCAGACATAAAAAGAGCACTTTACAGTCTTGTCTTTAAACTTCACACAATAACACATATTGAACTCAATATATTTATGTTGAGAGTGAAGTGCTGAGTCAATCCTGTTTAAATTTGTGTCTGTTCATTCAGTATTTCAAACATGATATTCGACCCATTCATTAAACCACAAATGTTAACTGGAAGCCTTTGTTTCTGTTTCAGAAGTATAAAGAGTGACAGAGTGATGCCAGAGGAAATTGCTTGCTATTATAAACAGTATGTTAAAGTCATGGGCCTCCAGAAGAACTTCCGAGACAACACTTACATAACATCTGTTTCAAGACTTTACCGAGAACAGGATGATGAAGATAAAAGCCAAGTGAATGAAGATATTTCAACACAACATTTGCAAATGAAAAAGGAAGATGTACAAACATCGCTGGTCAAGAAAAACTGGGAAGTCAGAGGTTATCAGAGAACAACGGACGGTTCTCAAGTGCCCTTCTGCCTCTTTGCTGAGAATGTGGCTCTTGCGACTGGAACCTTTGATTCTCCTGGACGACTACAAGTTGAAGGAGAAGAATTTCCATTTGTGTTTCATTCCATGTCTGACTTTGGAGCTGCCATCAGCAAAGGAAAACTACGTGGGAAAGTAGACCCTGTCTTAATTGTGGGTGCTGGACTCTCAGCAGCTGACGCAGTACTGTGTGCTTACAACAATAACATCCCTGTAATTCATGTGTTTCGTAGAAGGGTTGCCGATCCAAGTTTAATTTTCAAACAGTTACCTAAAAAACTTTATCCTGAATACCATAAAGTCTATCATATGATGTGTACTCAGTCACATGCTGTGGACTCTAATCTACATTCTGCTTACACCAGTTTTCCTGAGCACCATGTACTTTGCTTCAAGCCAGACATGAAATGTGTCCTACAGAGTGCCTCTGGATTGAAGAAAATCTTCAAGTTCTCCATAGCCTTAGTATTGATAGGTTCTCACCCTAATTTGTTCTTTCTAAAGGACCAAGGTCAGGGGATAGGTCATATCGCAAACCAGCCAATCACATGCAAGGGTAATTCTATTGAGATTGATCCATATACTTATGAGTGCACTAAGGAAGCCAATCTTTTTGCATTAGGCCCACTGGTTGGAGACAATTTTGTACGTTTTTTAAAAGGAGGTGCATTGGGCATTGTGCGATGTTTGGCTTCAAGACAAAAGAAGAAACATCAACTAATTGTTGAAAGAGGCGGTGAGGATGGAGTCCCCTAAAACATGCAGTCATATAAACTTTCATACATGGAATTACAGGCATACACTAACAAGCATCTCATTGACAGTTAAATTTGTTAGTAGCCTCTTATTTGTTATGTATGCAAGCGAGGCTTGTATTGCCTGGTAGAGGATGCTGACACTACACTACTTCACCCTTTTCAAAAGCCACAGGGGTGGTCTACTGATTTTAAGTGCTCTGTCCCCAGCTAGAATTTCTTCCAAATAGACAGCAAAGTAAAACTAATTTACATTTACTTGCCTGTGGTTACTTGCTCAAATAGGGCACTGTTGAAGAGCTACTCTTTATTCTTAGTGTTTCACCATACTTATGTGAAACTCTAGCTCTAAGTTAAGTTGTGTAAACAGAAAGCGCTCCTTGTGACCATTTTTGGTGTCAAAGCAAGTGTGTGTATTTTGAACAAGGATTTTATTTATTTTGCCCTAGTAATACTGGCACTTGTATAAACCTTTATTTAGCACTTAGTAAAATGGTCTTTACAATAAACAAAGAGGATTTCTACAAGCAGGAAAAGCTTGGCTGAAGCAGTTGAACCAGATTCATCTTAATTTGGTACTGCAATAATAGGGAACAGCATTCCTTTAACCTTAGTTGCTAATTTGACAATACACTTATGATTCTGTCAAGCGTATGCCTACACTTCCATAAGGACCATTACATACCATTTTATAGAGATCTGTTCCAAGAGTACTCTGGTTTACAGTAAAACAATAAAGTGCTGATAAAAGTGCTCTTACTATAGTGTCAATACAGTGAATACCTAATATACTTTTGAAAAGGAAATGTTGAGAAGTAACTGTAAAACTTGTAAAAAAAATTCTCAGTGTCGCTAAAGAAGTCTGGATGCGATCTCTTATGTGGTGGAGATAGGAGGCAGACCTGCCCTTTGCCTTTGTACAGTAATGTTTAACATTACTACTAAGATATCTCTAATGGCTTTAAAAAAGCCAACGTCTAAAACTGTCACCTCATGCAAAATGGCTAAGCCTGGATAGAAATGTTCCTGCAAAATCATCTTTCTTTGCTTATGGGTGTGGCAGGGATGCATACTCAATATTGTAAAATGACATGGATTAAATTTCATACCACTGGTTTCTAAGGTGAGACCTAGACTCTCAAGCCCAAATATTTAGATGAATAAACTGTTGTAGACACTACCCAATGTTATTTATGGTACTTGGAGCAAACAGTGGATTGAAAGATTCTAAATAATTATCATAACTAATTTAGTACGAATGTGAACCCCCTTTGGCTAAGTGTTTAGTTTTAATCCATTACCAAGCACTTTCATGCAAATCTAATGTGGTAAAAGACATAATGTCTAAATCAGTTCACTAATTTCTGCTCTTGTGTATTGTAGTGTATATAGTGGTAGTTTGGATTAAAAAGACCTTTATGTATATGATTAAAATGAAACTCAAACAGAAAAGAACCCTGAGGACATACTTAGAAAACATGTATATTGGTGATGTACCTATTCTGCTGTCTCAACCATGTCTCTCTTGAGTTGCACTAATTCAGTAACAGGCACAATTTTTCTCTCTTTTCCTCCTTGACACCCTTATAGATACCTGAAAACTGCTATCATGTCCCCTCTGTCTTCTCCTTTCCAAGCTAAACGAGCCCCGTTCTTTGTCTTCCTTCATAGGTTATGTTCTCTAGACTTTTAATCATTCTTCTTGCTCTTCTCTAGACCTTCTCCAATTTCTCCACATCTTTGTTGAAATGTGGTGCCCAGAACTGGACACAATATTCCAATTGAGGCCTAATCAGCGCAGAGTAGAGTAGAAGAATGACTTCTTGTGTCTTGTTCACAACTCTCCTGTTAATGCATCCCAGAATCATATTCGCTTTTTTTTGCAACAGCATCAAACTGTTGGCTTATATTTAGCTTGTGGTCCACTATGACTGCTAGATCCCTTTCTGCAGTACTCCTTCCCAGACAGTCGCTTCCTGTTCTGTATGTATGAAACTGATTGTTCCTTCCTAAAATAAGGTTTACGGGTTCTTTCAAAAAACGGTTTTTAGACTGCATTTTTTGGCAATAAAACCTTTTCTACAAAAAGGGTCAGAAGAGGATATGCAAATGATGCACAAGAATATGCTGATCAGTGCTTCATTTGCATTTCCTCTTTCGGAAGAGGAAAGCAGTCTAAATGTACCTCTCATGGAGAACTTTGCACGTGTCCTTATTAAACTTCATCCTATTTACCTCAGACCATTTCTCCAGTTTGTCCAGATCATTTTGAATTATGACCCTATTGTCCAAAGCACTTGCAACCCCTCCCAGCTTCGTATCATCTGCAAACTTAATATGCATACTCTCTATGCCAATACCTAAATCGTTGATAAAGGTATTGAACAGAACTGGTCCCAAAACTGATCCCAGTGGAACCCCACTTGTTATGCCCTTCCGGTAGGATTGTGAACTGTTAATAACTACTCTCTGAGAATGGTTATCCAGCTAGTTATGCACCCACCTTTTAGTAGCTCCATCTAAGTTGTATTCGCCATTATCTTTCCTGGAACAGAAATTAAACTGACTGGTCTATAGTTTCCTTTTTATGAATGGGCACTGTATTTGCCCTTTTCCAGTCTTTCTGGAATCTCTCCCGTCTTCCATGATTTTTCAAAGATGATAGCTAAAGGCTCTGATACTCCTCTATCCGCTCATTGAGTATTCTAGGATGCATTTCATCAAGCCCTGGTGACTTGCAGACATCTAACTTTTCTAAGTGATTTTTAACTTGTTCTTTTTTACTTTATCTTCTAAACCTACTCCATTGCCACTAGTATTCACTATGTTAGGCAATCCATCATAAGACTTTTTGGTGAAGACCGAAACAAAGACGTCATTAAGCACCTCTGCCATTTCCATGTTTCCTGTTACTGTTTGTCCCTCCTCACTAAGTAGTGGGCCTACCCTGTCCCCAGTCTTCCTCTTGCTTCTAATATATTTCTATTAATATCCTAATATATTCAGTTGAAGGGTAAGGAATATATATGTTAAAAATCTAGTTATGTAGTTTACAGACTTCAGCAATTTATAAAATCACTTTAATAATGTAACAATGTGAAAAAATAATTTTAAATTGCTTTTGTTCCTAGTCATGCCCACTATTTGAATTTAGTCATTTCGTATTTCATCAATTAACCACTTTTTTTTTTATCTAGAAAGCAAAGGGCCATGTCAATAATTGTGGTTAAATCTATTTTTTTTTTTGCATTACCAATCATGGTGTAGACCATTACAATCTTTCCACTTCATTTTAACAGGAGTTATATATGCAATAACTTAAAAATTATACCTAATTATTTATACCTAATTAATTCATAGTTTGCCTATGAATTTTGAATTTATTACTTAAGTGACATACATTAAGTATGTACTAAAGATTTTATTAAAGAACCTAATTATGCTTGTAACAACTTGTAATAGGTTTTAATGGTGGTGAGGCACATCCAAAATTTGTTTGACATTTATGGTAGGTAACTCACAAAATAACATTACAGATTATAAAAAAGCATTTCCATCTTTCATGAAAACATTTATCTTTCACATACTTCAAAGAGACACGCACAAAAGCTATAGAAGAGTAAGACTAGTCCCATCTTTAACTACAGCAAGTACTTAGTATTATGAATGCATAACATAATGACAAAAGTTAATTGCAGAACTTTTTATTCAGGGATTATATTGGCATCCATTGGAAGGTGCTGTGAAACTAGAGCAAAGAGTTATGATGTCTTCCATTCTTGCTTGTGTTCCTAGGCATTCAACTAAGTTGTGAGCATAAGTCAAATGGTGGACAAAGCAGTAGCTTTCAATATGCATGTATAGAGTTTGAAGAATACAGCCGGTCCCCAACTTACAGCCACCTCGACTTACGACCATTCGCACTTACGACCAAAGTGGTCGTAAATGCGGGCTCCGAGTTACAAACGTGATCTGCGCTTACGAACAGTGCAGTCGCAATGTAACTCAATGGGTTCCGAGTTACGACAATTCCAAGTTACGGCCAAGTGTTTGGTTCATAACGCATTCGTAACTTGGGGACCAGCTGTAAATGTTAGCTAGCCAGTATGTAAAAAGTTTTTTTTTTTTTTTTTAACCGACTGAAGTGGTACTGAGAAATCTTCCTTTTACGTTAGGAGCTGCTAGCTTTCTATTTGCAACTGGCTTTTATTTACCTGGTGTAAAAACTTGCCTATGAATTATGCAGACTAATCTTGGGTATTTTCTGAAGACAAATTGATAAGAAAATTGATAAGAAAATTGCAATTAACTGGTGTAGCACTAATTTGAATTGTATAACAATGCAATTTTCATGAAAAGTTTGATTTAACTTGTTGGTATGGGATGGCCCTGCAAAACCAAAGGATAAAGTTTGCCATTGGTAAGTTGCGGTAGGCCAAATCAAATTCTTAAAAGGAAAGTTGTCTCTACTTCCCTTGCCCGCTAATATCAGAGATTTTACTATAAACTACAATTAAATATTAGATTTTAAAATGGTTTAGAAGGTTGGGTAAAACAATACTACTGATACAAAAACAAGTAAAAAAAGAAATGCAATGTTAATTTATAATTATACAATTATAAAGTATTCACATTCTGTTTTATAGTAGGTTAATGGAAAATACTTTATAGTTGCCTTTAATTTAGGAATAGCTTAGAATCCATAACAATACAGAGTATATTTCCAAGCTAAATTATAGCTTAAACTTAATTTTGGACTTAAACCTTAGAATTGCCATACCAGATCTGACTAGCGGTGCATTTAGAATATGATTGTTTTACAGTGGTCATTGTTTAAAGAAAGGCACTTGAATAATAATTATGGGGAGTTAATTTCTTTTGGGGTCTACTAGATTGGCTTAACTTGATATGAGGTCTGACAGGCTGCTAAATATTATACCAGTGTGTAACTGCACAATTCTTTATTCAGATGCAATCTAATCTTCTCTTGAAGTGTTCACTGAAGGTACTGAGTTCCATAGGTCGATGTGTTATATTATAAATTTTGTCTCCACTAATCCTGACTTCAATTACACCTTCTTTCACTACAGACCAATAGCGGTTCATGACCTTGGAAGGGAATGCTGGACCTAGGCACCTGGCAACCAATCAGAAGAGTTCATTTGAAGTTGTAGAAAATTTAAAATCCTAAATGTAATAATTCAACCCAGTTTTGGGTTAGTTTTCTTAGCTCTGTCACCACAAGGAGGGGGAAATGGAGTAGATTTACTGGGAACCAGCACGAAGATAAGTAAACTTAATGTAGCTGGATAGGATGATTTTGTTTAATCATAACTGGAAGAAAACAATTGCATTCTGGATAATTCTCACTGATGGCAAGCAATAAGCAGTGAAAGGAACAATAGGAAGAGAAAGTAGGAAAGGTGACCTAGAACAGTGTTACTTAAAAGTGTGTTCCGTGGCACACTGGTGTGCTGCTCTTAAGGGACAAGCCCTTTTTTTTTTTTTTTTGCTCAATTTTTCCCTGGGAAGGCTTTTTTTTTTCCCTCACCTAAAAATTCCTTGGTGCTCCCCAGGAAAAAAAAAATTGTTTGGTGTTCCTCAGTCTTAAAACGTTTAAGAAACACTGACCTAGAAGGATTCCTCGTTGTCCCTGGAGGGTTTAAATTGGGACCAGAGACTGGAGTATCCACCTTTTAAAGGTTGTCTCAGCAGTTGCTTGCAAATTGAATTTGTAGATCTGGAAAAAGTGGAGAGAAGACAATGCTTGCAGCTTTAAGTGTCTCCCTATTAAGGCTTAAGTTCTGACCATGTTGCCATGCTCCAATGCAAATAAACCTAGACGTCTTTGTCTATTGCATTGTCTGCTATGTAACAATCCATCTGGTTCCTTAAGCTGCAGAAGACTTGTTGAATTTTATATTTAAAGTGAAAAGCAAGGTGGAAGAGTTTCTTAGAACAACTTTGTTTAGAGACACTTTTAGAATCTTGCTGACCTGTATGATGCTATTTCTACCCTTAGGGTTGTTTTTTAACTGAGCTGACAAATGGGAGCACATTACCTTAACTAGGAAGAGAAGGAACATTTACTTTTGGAATAAAACTGGGACACAGTTTAAGAACTGCTTTGACTTCCTAAAAGAGGGGGCGAAAGTGTCTGTCTTGGAAGAGCTGAATTATCTGGACTCTAAAGTGATGGCAGGTGATATATGTTTTGACAGAGAAAGCAAGGCTTTGTTGACTTTGGTATTCAAATTGAGTCAAAGTAAGGGTGTTGAAGATGCCATTCTGGTCCTTGAAGAGAACATCAGAAGGGATGTTGGCAAGCTTACCTGGCCTTTCAAACCTACATGAAGATGACAGATGCCAAAGAAGATCTGGAGTAAAAACATTTAGAGGTTGCACCTTTGAGGATTAAAGCTGAGACCTATGGACTGATCCTTATGCAACAATTGACTAGTACCTAGCATCCCTGGGGTTATTTTTTATTTCTCCTCGTATAAAAATTCTTGCATGCCAAGAATGTACTTGTCACAGATTTCTTTATAGATGAGTGCAATGTAAAGATAATTTGTCAGAAATATCTCAAGTCCAATAACATTTAGAAGCAGAGAAGG